GCTTTGCTCCAACCAGGTTTCGTACTTGTTGACACTCATCAGTAAGGTGCGACTACAGCCTTGAAGGAAACAATTTCTCCTCTGAGACTTGAAACAACATCGTTGAGTAGTGCAATTAGTGATACCAATAATGAGCTGTTCACGCCCAGGCCAACCTCCTATAGGACTGGATTAAATACACTTATTCGTTACTGGACAGAAACCAATCAAAATCTGTCTAGTCCTGAGTGGTGATCGAATTCTATCGAACATCTGTAAATATCAGCATAGAATTTTGAAACTGTAGTAGAATGCAATTTCATAACAGATTTGTTTATTTAATAAAAGACACATTGATATAATATTGTTTATTTGATGACGTTTTCAGCACTCATAGACATATGACGGTAGTTTTACTGTTTTCCATTCCATGATTTGATTGATTCTGAAAGCTGAAAATATAGATCGCTTCCTCACTCACGTTGCCTTGGTGGTAAATGGAAGCAATTTACCTACCTACTTTATAAAGTAAAATAAAAGGGAGAAAAGACAGTAGTTAAGATACAGGTATCTGCAGAAAACCATCATATTTCAATAGATATCTAAACTTTAGATAATCTCAAGGTACACCAGCAATGGTAACTTTAGTTGAATGTTTAGGGATTCAAATTAAGAGTCTCTTCACTAGGTCGACAACAAGAAATATAATAAAGAAATGAAATACATAACAGAAGCTTTACTTCCCGGTAAACACCCTTCTAAATCTATTAAGAAATATATATGAGACATAAAAAAGGAGAATTTGTGGTGGGAACGATGGCTGCTACACAAATAAGAAGGAATTCACGGCTTCCAATATTATTACTATTATTATCATTTGTCCTTTAAGTTCCTAGTGGAACACAAGGCTTCAGTAGCACGTCTCCATTTCACTCTCTTCTCTCCAGTCTTTTCAACATGGCTCCACCACTGCCCGCCCACAAGCTTTCATTCCTTCCTCATATGATCTCCTCCATGTCATCCTCAGTCGGGAAGCCCAACTCGTCGTTTCCCACTTGGTTTCCACTCGACAGCCTGGCCAGGTGCGTGGTGTTCCCACTTGGTCTTCTCAGTGTATGTCCAATCCAATCCAATCCATCTCCACTATCCTCTACTTCATATTTGTTGGGTGATGGGTTCTTGGTTGGTTCGTTGCAAACCGACCAACCAAGCAAGCAAGCAACCGACCAACCGACCAACCAGCCAGCCAGAGTTCCTCCTTGCTTATTCGTATAATTCTGGTCATCTGATCTCCATCATCATTATCGAGTGAGTGTGTATGGCAGCCATTGATGACGTATGTCTGTAGTTTGTTGGAAATGCTTTTCGTCACGCGCCACCAAGTCTCTCAACCATCACATGGAAGCACTGACTTACTTGACTGATATTGGTGTTGAAAATCCGGATCTCGTTCATGCTTTATGCTGAGTGGAGTTCAGTAGATCTCTACACTGATTACTCCAGATCAATGATGGTGTGTCTTGCTTTCCTCATCGTGGATTTGACGTCCTCTTCTGTGTCTGTGCCGCCTGTGGTTGAAACGATGCTGCCTAGGTAGGTAGGTGTGTAGGTAGGTAGGTAGGTGTGTGTGTAGGTGTGTAGGTAGGTAGGTAGGTAGGATATCTTCATCACCTCTGTCTACTCTACCTTCACCTGAAGGAAATCCCGTCTTCATTGACTCACCTCTTCTCTCAACTTGTTGGTTTTCGCCTGCATATTTTCGAGTTTGTACGACATAAATCATCATAGGCGACATCCAAATCATCTTCTGTGGTATTTTCACCCGTCCAACTAGTTTTCTGCATGATCCTATAGACCACAATCGGGAAGATGATCGGTGAGGAAGGTTGGCAATCTTGTCTCACTCCTGTCTTCACTTGAAAGCCGTCAGTCATCTTTCCATTGTGAATCACTCGGCTTGTAGCGTCATCGTTTAGCTAGTTGTTGAATGAGGTTGATAAAGGTTAGTGTCACCAGAAGCGTAGTGTTGAAGCGGCAGCCTGGAAATTACTTCTCGGTTGACGCTATTCAAGGCCTTTTCAAGGTTGATGAAGTTGAGGTAGAGTTGAGTTGACTGTCATTCTATGGTCTATTGTATGATGATGCGTAGGGTAGCGTTGCAATTTGATGAGCACATGATTTGTTCTTCCCCTAGCTAGCCAGCCAGCCAACCTGTTTCGGTCGTCATTTCTAATGGAGAGCATTGTTTAGTCTCTCCGCGGTGATGCAGCTTGGAGTAAGCAGGTACAGGAGCATGGTTCCGCGCTATAACGTTACTGTATAAGGTAGGAATATCAGTAACCCCATGTGTGATTCTTGACAGGTCTGGGATTATGTTTGTGCTCAAACCTCTGAAATGAGTAAGACATAAACTTTCTCGTTCTTAGGATTCAATTAACCGAATGAGACAATATAATTTAATTCACGGAGTACCTATTTAATGCCTATGGATTCCAGTACATAGGTTTAAATAATCGAACGGTGTCAGTCAGATTAGCATATTACAACAGCCTTGCGAAGTCTAGACCGACAGACCTGATGAGTGACACAGAAAGGAATTCAGTCGAGATTATGCATGTTATAAAATACAACTGTACAATACGGTGGGAAAGAGCTATAGTCGTAGCAGCTAGTGTAGTCATGTGGAGAGATAGTGTATTTGACCACAGGATCGCGTGCAGCAGGAATGATTCATTACGTGATGCACGTATTTAGAAAGTCGTACCACCATTAAAACGAAAGAATAAAGAACGTCTGAGCTTTATAAGAGACGTTTGCAAGTCACGTGATTACTTCAATACAAATATGAGCAATAATTAATGCTCGAAATGTCATCCAGGGGATAATATTATGTCATCGTGTCCTGGAATTCCATAAATTCTATAACTGATTTCCATGCCAGATATTTGTTGGTCCCACACCCAAAATTCATAGCCATAAACGAAAAGACAAGTCACTTTGGTTTGTCTCGATAATTTCTGTAGGACACAATAAATCTTTGACTAGAAACAGGTGTTTACTGTTTTCAGATTGGCAATATGCATCCCGCGTGCAGAAAGCTGTCATCAAACCTAGGGATGTTGAAATCGGGAACCTACCTACCCACCTATACAGACAACTAGGCAACTATTTCATGGAATACCCAATGAAATTCAGATGTTGGTGGTACTTAGAAGTGAAAATTCCACGTTTTATCTTTTGAAACTTGGATGTATAAATGCAACCAACTGAAAGTAATACATCAACAGGTTCGATTTTGTTACTCCATTACTACATTTCCATGTTAAACACATTTGCATGACGGTGCTTATCAGATGGAGTAAGACTGGACACGAAGAAACCCAGTATTCTTGTCATTCATGGGAGCAGAGCCATCAAATAGTGCTCTCTAGGTATTGAGAGAACACAGAGAACAACAGAAATGCCTCAAAAGTTCACACCGATAGTTTTTGGAATATTGGCTTAGAATTTGGATGACCATTTTGCACTTCATTCCCAAATTGCATGGTCTACATTGGGTTTTCTCACGCGTGAGTAGTTTTTCAAATGCTCAGCTATTGCATCCATAGTGTGTTCGAGCTAAGTGGCAACCGAATGGTACAACTACCTGGTGTTTAGGTCCCTCTTATCTGGCTTACGAACACTACAGATCAACGTGAGTGGTCTCTAACTATTCATGTTGTTCACTAGTATGCCTTTTTCTTCAGTTGATATTAGTTTTGTGTAGGAGATCGCACTTTGTTGACATCCCAGCTGGACATCTGAAAAACTGCTCAGTTGTGAGAAATGTCAAGGTGAACCGCGCAATTTATAAATAATTTGCAAACTGATCATTCTAAGTAAAGTGTACCAGTCTACGTAAGGCAGCTAGACAAATCTAGATGATCTAAGCAGTTTGACCTTGTAAACTGAATTCGTCCATGTACACCATTGATGAACTTCATCCTAAAACGAGTGGAACAGTTGCCCGGGATAAAGCACCACATGTACAATAATCCTATTTTGGCTTGATGTCAATATTCATTGGATAGCTGTTTCATCCTAGTATGGGACTGCTCGGCAGGGCGCATCCATGGATTCGCCATGAATCCAACCCTGGACTTTGATGTTCCGTGGCCAGCACGTTGCCGTCGGGTAACCGGGTCAGAATCCATTGGTTCACATTTTCTACCTCTATCATTTGGAGGAAAGCTATATCATCCTGGCTATGGATACAAGTGTTGAAGAGGGCACAAAAGCTTTTTTATAGTAGGGTTAGTCGACCAAACCGTTTTACTGGACGGTACTGCAGTTTAAACGGCAGTTCATTCTATGTAATATACATTTTAAAACAGTTGAAAAAACTCAGTCAGTCAGTGAAAACATGGGATCTGGCATTACTGCATTATCGTATAGGTTGCAACACCCGAATCAGTAGATCAAGGTAGAAGATATCAAGATGAAAGATAGGGAAATATCAAGAAGAGAAGTCCAAAATGGCGGGACTTCGTAGGAAGAGAGCAGAAGGGAAATAAACAATGATGAAATTAGACATAACGATTAAGATGGAGATAATATGCGGATACATCTGCGCTACTGAGATCGATTCTGGATCTGAAGTGACCGACATAATAATGCAAAATACGAGATTACTACTAACGCAATAAGACACTTGAAATGGATGCGAATAGCGACTGTTCTCCGTCAGTACCTTATACTACACTAAACTGCGAAAATCAGAGAACAAAGATCGGCCTACGACCGACTGTAAAGAAGGCTCTATTTAACAAAAGCACCATTTATATGGAGTTTTGATCAACGTACATATAGCCATTAGGTCAGAAGTTGGTCACTTATATTGATCGGTCAACTGTAGGACAAAACTGTGCAAAAAGGTCTTCCTGACCACTCCTTAACAAGAAACGAAGGTTGAAATCCAAAACTTCTACCTTGGCGGCTGATGATTTGTAATGTTGGTTTTGATTCAGGTAGCCTCCAATCAGGACCATACCATCTAGAGTTAACTACTACTACTACTACTACTACTACTACTACTACTACTACTACTACTACTACTACTACTACTACTACTACTACTACTACTACTACTACTACTACTACTACTACTACTACTACTACTACTATACTACTACTACTACTACTACTACTACTACTACTACTACTACTACTACTACTACTACTACTACTACTACTACTACTACTACTACTACTACTACTACTACTACTACTACTACTACTACTACTACTACTACTACTACTACTACTACTACTACTACTACTACTACTACTACTACTACTACTACTACTACTACTACTACTACTACTACTACTACTACTACTACTACTACTACTACTACTACTACTACTACTACTACTACTACTACTACTACTACTACTACTACTACTACTACTACTACTACTACTACTACTACTACTACTACTACTACTACTACTACTACTACTACTACTACTACTACTACTACTACTACTACTACTACTACTACTACCACCACCACCACCACCACCACCAATTCTGGTTGTCACGTAGACGCCAACCGTTACTGACATGGTGATAATTAAGACAAAAGTCCACCAGTGCATAGAGCTTTCTCCTCCGTTAATGTTTACCTCTTACGATTAAGTAGTAGAACGAAGCGAAAAGAAGCGTAGTATACTCGGTGCTTACAAGACAGCTGGATAATGCATATTGACATAAATGATGTAATTTGGCGAAAGCCAATCCAGCCTTTGTATCCATGCAGAGATTTTGTCAATCATTGACGCATCAGGGATGGTCCGAATTCCTAAGTAAGCGAAATGGTCAACATGCTTAACCACATTAGTTCATAGTGCTGGATGACTGAGGAACGTAGACCAGTAATATAGTACAAATTCGCGTTAGGCTGTGGAAAAACATTCAAAATGGCAACAAATAAACCCCTTTGAGGCTAGTTTTTTCAAATATGAATGCTGTAAAGCAACATGCTCTCCTAGTTGGTGTCAAAGCTGACGGTGGAACACCTGTCGTGGTAGAACACTTAAGAAACCAAGAAACTGTGGGCTTCGACAAACTGAAACTTCTTTTCCTTGAATTCCCCTAAGTTGCTCCCTTATTAAAAGCCGTTACAAATGATGGACCATTTGAGAGCGGATAAAATAGTTTTGATTTGGCATTCATCACGGACTAACATCATCTGTTGAACCATTCAAGATATGGGGGCACTGGAAAATTGTTTCGTTTGAGCATGGCACTCCCCAACAATGTGAACGAACAACCGCTCCAAGAATGGAACCCATTACTTTTAAGTTTTGCAGAGAGCACGCTGCCATTGACTTAATGAGTCTGAATCCATTGGTACACGTTTTTCTACTTCTGTCAATTTGTACCCTAGCATAACCTCCATCCAAAATCGCCTGGTTAACTAGTGAAGAGGGAAGGTCGAGCATACCGCTAGAAACGCTACCCCGTAAAACAAATCTAACCGCTAAATAAACTTCAAAGCACAAACAAAATATAAAAAAATAAAAACAAAATTATTCCCCGCTGGAATCAGAGAGGCGAAAGGACGCCAGTTGGTGAAAGCCTTCGGAAAGCCAATTGGCAGATGTGTCTCCTCTCGATGAAAGCGAAAGTAAACATGGGGACATGGAATGTCCGCACTATGTTTCAAACTGACTGGCAAGGCTGCCCAGATGACAAAGAAGATAAGAAGGTGTAATATTGAAGTGCTAGGAATCTGCAATAGGAGGTGGAATAGAAGTGGACTCTCTCACCTGTCAACTGCAGAGTCAATAATCTACTCCGATATTGTCACCCAGACGGCAACCACGAGCACACTGAGTTATGGAGTGGCTATCATGATGTCCCTAACAGCATCGAAGGCTCTCTCTCTCATGCAGTGGGAACCAATCTCCTCCAGGATCATAACAGCAAGATTCAACTCAAAAGAAAGGAAAGTCACAACCATACAATGCTACGCTACGCACCTACAAATAATGCAGATGAAGATAGGAAGGAGGAATTCTACAGACAACATCAATCAACACTGGACAAGACTCCACTCCAGTTGATGACATCAAAATTCTAATGGGTGCCATGAATGCCAACCTGGGAGCAGACAACACAGGAAGAGAACTAACCATGGGTCGAGAAGCACTCGGTGAAATGAATGAGAATGGAGAATCGTTTGCAGAATTCTGTGCATTCAACGATTTGGTGATTGCAGTGAGGCACTGTGTTCAAGCACAAGGATATCCACAAAGCGACATGGATTTCACCAGATGGACACACTAAAAATCAAATTGACTTTATTTCAATCTCAAGAAAATGGAGGCGCAGTCTACTTGACACAAGGTCAAGAAGAGGAGCAGATGTAGGTTCACACCACTCACTATCTAGTGCAAGGAACCTTCCAAATCAAGTTAAAAGTCTTCAAAGCAGTTGGTGATAGACCACAGTTCAAGTTCAACACACAGAACACAAGCTGAAGGACGAAACTACAAAGGAGATCTTCACGTCAGCCATCAAGACAAAATGGGAGATATCGAGCAACATCCCTGAAGAAACTAGTGTGGAAGAACACTGGAGGTCTTTGAAAGAGATGTGGAAAGAAACCTGCACAACCGTATTATGAAGGAAGAAGGAAGAAGATGAGGAATGGATGTTGATGGATACATGGAAGGTGATAGAGCAGGGAGAGGAGGATGGTGGAGCAGAAGATAAACCGGTGCAGGCAAGGATGGACAACGTATAAAACAACACACTGGACAAAGAAGTGAAGAATAGTGCACGGAAAGACAAAAGACACTTCTTTCTACGACACACTGGCAAGTGAAGCAGAACAGGCTGCTGGTGGGAGAGACCTGACAACATTGTATCAAATAACCAGGTTACTATCTGGTAGGGAGGAGATCAACGCAGATGAAACCAACAAAGGATGATGAAGGAAATTTAATTACCAAAGAAGAGAAAAAAAGGAATCAATGGGCCGACCACTTCAAGAAGCTCTTGAATCGACCACCACCTGCACTTCGTCCAGAAATATCACCTGCAACCCAGTCACTGAAATACAAGTGAAGATAAATCCTCCAACAAAAGTGGAAGTTCTGAGCGCCATAAAGCTACTGAAATGCGGGAAAGCAGCAGGACCAGATGGAATTCCTCCAGAAGCACTGAGAACAGACTCAGAGACAACAGTGGACATGCTCACACCACTACTGCAGAAGGTTTGGAAGGAAGGAAAGGTACCTGGCGATTGGAAGGAGGGTTATTTTGTCAAAGTCCTGAAGAAGAGAGGACCTCAGTGTTTGCAAGTACTGGCGTGGAATCATGCTCCATTGCTGCTCACCGCAAACAAATTAAATATTATGCCTCATCATCCTGGAGAGACTAAACAATGCACTGGATTCCAAATTACGACCAGAACAGGCAGGCTTCAGGAAGTACAAATCATCTGCGCATTAAATTGAAACGCTTCGCATCATCATAGAACAGAGTATAGAATGACAGTCAACTCAACTCAACCTCAACTTCATAGACTTTCAAAAGGCCTTAGACAGCGTCGACTGAGAAGTAATTTGGAAACTGCTTCAACACTACGGAATACCACAAACCTTTATCAATCTCATTCAACAACTATATGAAGACGCCACATACCAGCCAAGTAATTCACAATGCGAAGCTGAGTGGTGGCTTTTGAAGTGAAGACAGGAGTGAAACAAGGCTACCTGCTGTCACCCATGATATTCCTGATTGTGGTCAACTCGACTGGATCATGCAACAAACAGTGAGGAGCGAGAAGAGGGGGATATGCTAGACCGGGGAAGAGATCCTAGAAGATTTAGATTTCACCGATGACTAGTGTCTATTGTCTCACAAACTTGAAGATCTACAGGTGGAAACTGACGAGTTGACAGAAGAGGCAGAGCAGGGCAGGGCAGCGAAGACGGGACTTCAGGCGAATATAGAGAAGACAGAGGTGATGTTGATACCCAACCAACACGAACAACAGCAAACTCCAATCACCATCAACTGCAGAAACTTAAAAGAAGTAACCTCCTTCACCTATCTAGGCAGCACTGTTTCAACTACAGACAGCGGTGGCACAGACGAGGACGTTAAAGCAGCCAGGATCGGAAAAGCAAGACAAGCGTTCATTAACGTGAAACCAGTGTGGAGATCTTCTGCACTCAGCACAAAGAGTGAACAAGATCCGGATTTTCAACACCAGTGTCAAGTCAGTGCTTCTGTGTAATGGTTCAGAGACTTGGTGCGTTACGAAAGGCACTTCCAATAAACTACAGACATTCATCAACAAGTGCCTACTCTGGCTCGCTACTGAAGATCAGATGGCCAGAATGATAAGAATAAGCAACAAGGAACTCTGGGAACGAACCAACCAAGAACCTATCACCCAACAAATATGCAGAAGGAAGTGGAAACGGATTGGGCATACACTGAGAAAGCCGACTAAGGACATCACGCACCAGGCCAGGCCCTCGAGTGGAACCCCCATGGGAAGCGACGAGTTGGACGTCCGAGGGTGACATGGAGGAGATCGTACGAGGAGGAAATGAGAGCTTCTGGGATATCGTGGAAGCAGGTTCAAAAGATTTCAGAGAACAGAAGTCACTGGAGACGTGCTACTGAAGCCCTATGTTCTATTAGGAACCCATGGGACAAATAAATAATAATAATAATAACCTCCATTCAGTGATATCGTTGAGTACTTTTCATCACGTCCCACTTGGTTTACCCCACCGGTCACGACTTCTCATTATGAATTTGAGAAATCTCATCTCGAATCATTTCACCAGTGCACAATCAGCAGTAACCCAATCTGTGGATTTGTATTCATTTATTGATTTCAAGTTGGAATTCGAGATATGATCAGAATTTTGCACTGCTGAGGAGTCCCACACTAGGACGAAACAGCTGTTCACTGCTCCCGGGTTTTCAATCATTTTCCAACCGATGTCAGGCCATGAGAAATACCAACTTGAATCTAATAAATCATCACAAACCCTCAAACCAGAAATATCCATTACAAAGCCAGTTTACATGTTTTAAACTGCAAAGAATCTATATTCGTCAATCCTTGCAACACTTTTCAGTTTAACGCTGTCAGACAGACTTTTTTTCTCATCGTTTTCCGCGTTGGTGACTTGACAGGCAAATTGTAGTAATATCCACTTTTCGCCATTTCAGTAACATTGTATATCACTAACAGTGGAATATTCTCTATTCTCTGTAGTACAAATTTACCAGGGAGTATTTTTTGGTGATAGCGTTGCCAGGTAAAGTTCAATACACAGAGAGATTTTGCATTGTGAAACTTTGTTTTCCTTTCTAACCATTCTTGGAGTGTGAAATGATTTTCAGAAAATATCATTCTTTCACACATTTTGCAGTCAAGTTTTTTGCATATCCTAAGTTAATTAATCTAGACATTTTGCATTACAAATTTGCTTCAGTAAGAGCTACTTTGATCCCAGCATTCTTTCTTTGTGTGTGTTTGTGAATATACACCATCATACGGGGGAAGATCTTGATCCTGTGGGGAAAA